GTTGGCTGTTGGCTTTGTATAAATGCCTTTAATTATATTGAGGAATTTCCCTTCTATTCCTATTTTGTTGAGAGTTTTTATGATGAATGGGTGTTGGACTTTGTTCTGGCTGTATTTCTTCCAAGAGAGACTTGTTTGTCCTTCTGGCAGTCCATGGTATTATTCAATATTTTTCACCAACACCTTAATTCAGAGGATCGGTTCTTCCTCGGTCTTCCTTATTCGTTGACCAGCTTTTGCATGCATATGAGACGTTTGAAAATACCATGGTTTGGCTCAGGCACACCATAGTCCTCAAAGTGACATCTTTGTTTTTTAACAATTTAAAGAAGTCTTTTGAAGCAGATTTGCCCAGTGCAGTGATTTCTTGACTGCTGCTTCCATGGGTGTTGATTGTAGATCCAAGTAAAATGAAATCCTCGACAACTTCAGTATTTTCCCCATTTATCAGGATGGTACTTATTGGTCCAATTGTGAGGATTTTTGTTTTCTTTATGTTGAGGTGCAATCCATACTGAAGGCTATAGTCTTTGATCTTTATCAGTAAGTGTTTTAAGTCCTCTTTGTTTTCAGTAAGCAAGGTTATGTCACCTGCATATCACAGGTTGTTAGTGAGTCTTCCACCAATCCTGATGCTATGTTCTTCTTCATATAGTCCAGCTTCTCGGATTATTTGCTCAGCATACAGATTAAGTATGGTGAAAAGATACAACCCTAACGCACACCTTTCCTGATTTTAAACCATGTGGTATCCTCTTGTTCTGTTTGAACGACTGCCTCTTGGTCTATGTACAGGTTCCTCACAAGCACAATTGTTCTGGAATTTGCATTCTTCCCAGTGTTATTCAGATTCCTTTGCATAGTCAAAAACACAGATAAACATCTTTCTGGTATGCTCTACTTTCAGCCAAGATCCATGTGACATCAGCAATGATATCCTTCCTTCCACATCCTCTTCTGAATCTAGCTTGAATTTCTAGCAGTTCCTTATTGATGTACTGCTGCAACTGTTTTTGAATTATCTTCAGCAAAATTTAACTTGCATGTGATACTAATGATATTGTTTGATAATTTCCTCATTCTGTTGGATAATCTTTGGAATGGGTATAAATATGGATCTCCTCCAGTTGGTTGGCCAAGTAGCTGTCTTCCAAATTTCTAGTGCTACATCCATTGTTTGAAACATCTCAATTGATAATCCGTCAATTCCTGGAGCCTTGTTTTTTGCCAGTGACTTTAGTGCAGCTTGGACTTCTTCTTTCAATACATTGGTTCTTGATCGTGGGCTACCTCCTGAAATGGTTGAATGTTAACCACTTCTTTCTGGTAGGTACAGTGACACTGTATGCCTTCCATCTTCTTTTGATGCTTCCTGTGTCATTCAGTATTTTGCCTATAGAATCCTTCAAGTTTGCAACTCGAGGCTTGAATTTTTTCTTCAGCTCTTTCAGCTTGAGAAATGCTGAGTGTGTTCTTCTCTTTTGGTTTTCTAATTCAAGGTCTTGCACATTTCATTACAATGCTTTACTTTGTCTTCTCGAGCCACCCTTGGAAATCTTCTGTTCAGCTCTTTTACTTCATCATTTCTTCCATTAGCTTTAGCTGCTGTACATTCAAGAGCAAGTTTCAGAGTCTTTTTTGACATCCATTTTGGTCTTTTCTTTCTTTCCTGTCTTTTGATAACCTTTTGCTTTCGTCATTTATGATGTCCTTGATGTCATTCTACAGCTCATCTGGTCTTCAGTCATTAGTGTTCGGTGAGTCACATCTATTCTTGAGATGGTCTCCCGTGGACTTGTTTTAATGTTCTTCAACTTCAACTTGAACTTGCATATGAATAATTGATGGTCTGTTCTGCATCAGCCCTTGGCCTTGTTCTGACTGATAATATCGAGCTTCTCCATTGCCTTTTTCCATAGATGTAGTCAGTTTGATTCTTATGCTTTTCATCTGGTAAGGTCCATGTGTATAGTCACTGTTTATGTTGTTAAAAAAAGGTATTTGCAATGAAAAAGTCGTAGGTCTTAAAAAATTCTATCATGTGATCTCCGGTGTTGTTTCTATCACCAAGGCCATATTTTCCAACTACAGATCCTTCTTTGTTTCCAACTTCTGCATTCCAGTAATTATCAATGCATCTTGATGGTATTTTTGATCAATTTCAGACTCTAGAAGTTGGTAAAAATCTTCAATTTCCTCATCTTAGACATGAGTGGTTGGTGCATAAATTTGAATATAGTCATATTACTTGGTCTTCCTTGTACATGTATGGACATTATCTTATCACTGACAGTGTTGTATTTCAGGATAGATCTGGAAATGTTCTTTTTTGACGATGAATGCAACTCCATTCCTCTTCAATTTGTCATTCCCGGCATATTTGGCCGTATGATTGTCTGATTCAAAATGGCCATTACCAGTCCATTTCACCTCACTAATGCCTAGGATATCAATTTTTGTGTGTTTCATTTCATTTTTGATGACTTCCGATTTTCCTAGATTCATACTCCATGTTCCAATTATTAATGGATGTTTGCAGCTGTTTCTTCTCATTTTGAGTCATGCCACATGAGCAAATGAAGGTCCTGAAAACTTGACCCCATCCATGTCATTAAGGTCAACTCTGCTTTGAGGAGGTAGCCCTTCCCCAGTCATATTTTGAGTGCCTTCCAACCTGAGGGGCTCATCTTCAGGCACTGTATCAGACAATGTTCTGCTGCTATTCATACGGTTTTCTTGTCCAGTTTTTTCAGAAGTAGACCACTGGGTCCTTTTTCCTAGTCTGTCTTAGTCTGGAAGCTCCACTGAAATCTGTCCACCATGAGTGACCGTACTGGTATTTGAAATACTGGTGGCATAGCTTCCAGTATCACAGGAACATGTAAGCCACCACAGTACAACAGACAGACAGATGTGTAGGGGATTCTCACTTAAACTTCCCTAAAACCAAAAAAATAAAACCCAACCCACTGCCACTGAATTGATTCTGATTCATAGTGGCCCTATAGGGCAGTAGAACTGTCCCATAGGGTTTCCAAGGCTGTAAATCTTTATGGAAGCAGACTGCAGTGTCTTTCTCTCTCGGAACAGGTGGTTGGTTCCACCCACTAACCTTTTGGTTAGCAGATGAGTGCTTGACCATTGTACCACCAGGACTCCTCTTAACTCTCCCAGCCTGCTAATAATATTATTATGTCCATTTGTATAGAATAAGAAAACTGGATCTTAGGGAGAGGTCATATTTCTTGCCAAGATTTTGCCCTAGGAAGTGTTAGAGTTGGGATTGAACCTGAGTCTGATTCCAGAGTTCTCACTCTTAATACCTCAGTATACACCCTCCCAGAGTGCCAGGGGCGAGAGGCACCTGAACAGAGGTTAACCTTTCAGAGCCAGGTTTGTTCTTGGTTTTTTATTGATCTGGGCAATAACATCTAGGTTTTTTGTTTGTTTGCTAAGATAGATTGGTTTTACGCAAATCTAATATGCAGAAAAGTACACAGATTCTAGAATTTTCATAAAGTGAACCTACTTTGTGTATCCATCACTCTGATAAACAATACTAACCCCTCTTTGCAAAGATAACCGCTGCCCTGACTTCTATCACCACAAGTTTGTCTGTTTTTAAACTATTTATAGATAGATTTGTGTAGTTCATATATTCTTGTGCCTGGCATCTTTTATTCAACATTGCGTTTGTGAGAATCATCCATGTAGTATTTAGCAGTTTCTTAATTTCCATGTCTCTGCAGTATCCCATTATATGAATACACCACAATATACTTATCCATTCTACTGCCGATACACATTTGGGTTGTTTCCTTAGTGCTATGAATGTCTTTGTATATCTTTTGTTCCACATATTTGGTGCATTTTTATTGATTACATACCTTGAAGTAGAGTTGCTGTGTCATCAGGTAGTATGCATAAGTTTAGCTTTGGTAGATGTTGCCAAATAGTAAAGTAACTGTACAAATTTACACTTCCATCGGCAGTGTGTGAGAGCTACAGTTATTCCTTCTCTCCTAATCACCACTTGGTGTATTTTAATTTTAGCCATCCTAGTGGGAATGTAATAGTATCATTTGTTGTAGTACAGTTGGATAAATTGAAAACAACCTTCAAGTTTAACATTAGGGAATTTAGTTACATTATGATACATATATAGTATAATACAGTGTAGCCATTCAAAATGATGTTTGTAGATGTGTATTTTCTTAAATATTGTAATTATAAAAGTAAAATATGCTCATAATAAACACTGAATAAGTTGAAAACAGTACAGAAATGTGATACAGAAGTGACGGTCTCTGGTAATCCCATTTCCTAGAGGTGGGCATCATTAACAGCCAATGTGTATTTTTCATTGTTTTTTTTCCTTATATTAACATACATATTCAAACACATACACATCCATCCATCCATCCATTATTCTGCAGCTTGCTTTTCTCACTTAATCATATTTCACGGACATCTTTTTAGGTCGGGTTATGGAGCTCTATATCTTTCTTTTCAATTACTGCTTACTATTGCATTGTATTGAGACACCATGTTTGATTTGGTTCCTCTGCTAAGATGAGCTTTGGGGTTGTAGGAGGGTGTTGAGAAGAACATTGCAACATAGTAATTAGAAAAGTAAGTTGCAGAACTGTAAGTACAGAGTACTTCATTTTTGTTTTAAAAAATAAAATAGCCACATGCCTATAGATACATAGTCTTATGTTAAAGCATTATGCATTATGATTTTTTTTTCTTGGTCTTATCTTCATTTTCTTTAATGATTACGTATTGCTTCTGTAATAAGAAAAGAAAACAGAGAAGTCATTTACTTGGGTTGGTCAAGTCTTACCCTATTACCTCTCGAAGCAGTATCAAACCCACAACTGGGTTTGACTGGGGGGCTTTCCTCTGCTAGCCCTTTGGAGTAGGAATTGAGCTGGGATGGCCATGTAATCCAGAACTTTCCTGCTAGTTACTTACAAGCCACCTTTCCTAGGCAAGCTTCGCCCCAATGGAGGACAAACTCAATCAGGCACACCTCGAGGTCCAACAGCTGAAGGCATCAGTTAAGAACTATGAGGGGATGATTGACAACTATAAGAGTCAGGTGGGTCTCTCAAGTGCCTTGATCCCCCTTTTAAGGGCAGCAAGTACCTCTCCTTCCTCTGCTGTCAGGCTGGGAGGCTCCCACAATGCCTGTCCCAGGAAGGGTGCACGTGGAAGGTGTTTTTCACCAAAACTTGGCTCTGCCTGAGATGGCCTGATGCACTGTTGGTTCCTAGGTGATGAAGACCAGATTGGAGGCTGATGAAGTGGCTGCCCAGTTGGAACGCTGTGACAAAGAGAACAAGATCCTTAAGGATGAGATGAACAAAGAGATTGAAGCGGTATTGCTCCCCTTCCCTGCTCTCTTCCCTCCCTTGACAGAACTATCCCTCTTGTTCGCCTTTGACCCTCGCTGATTCAGACACAAAGATTCATTTCCTTATTGGTGGTCTGGGGCACTCTACTGCGTATGTGCTCTCTCTTTTCTCTTGTCTCCTCTCTTTTCTGCTGTATCTTTTTTCCTTCTTGGTTTTGTTTCTCCTCTTCAATTTCTTTTTTTAAAAAAATCTACTCAAATCTACAGGTATGATAGATCTTAGGCATGCCTACTTAATTCTGTGTGGTGTCTTTATCTTGTGCCAACCAAAACTTATGCCTCCTATCCCCTTCCTCAAAGAGTGTTATTCTGCTAGAAGCAGAGGGATTGTCTTAATAGCAACCTTGGAGACGGGTTCAGTCTAGGATTGGTTACTAACTTGTTGCATAACCTTGAGCAAGTCACCCCTCTTTAGTCCTCAGTCTCCCTGTAAGTACAATAAGACCAGATATTGTTTCTACCGTCACCTTTGACATTTGGTTTGGAAACCCTATAGCATGGTGGTTGCATTCCAAGTGGCTTTAGAGGTAGACTAGATTTTAATCGTGGCTCTACCAGTTTCTGGTGGAGTGACCTTGGGCAAATGACTTTGTTCCCTTGATCCTCAGTTTCCTTATCTGTAGAATGGGGATAACAGCACCTACTTTATGAGTTAAATGAGCAACTGCAGAGAGCTGTTAGCTCAAGGCCTGGATCCTGGTGCTTACTACATGGTTGCTGTTGTTATTCGATAATTGAATGAGTAGCAACCTCAAGTGTCAAGTCAGACCCAAGTGTGTCCCTTCAGAGAGCAGCTGGACACCTGCTCAGTGGTCTGCAGTGAGGACAGGCTACACTCCTGCCTGTGGATTTTGAAGGATCCTCTTCTGGGGACTGAGGGCAGCCCTTTCCTGAGTCCTTCCCAGCAGTGGGCATTTCTCCCCCACTCCAGGCACGTCGTCAGTTCCAGTCCCAGCTGGCTGACCTGCAGCAGCTTCCTGACATCCTCAAGATCACAGAGGCTAAGCTGGCTGAGTGTCAGGACCAGCTGCAGGGCTACGAGAGGAAGAACATTGACCTCACAGCCATCATATCAGACCTGCGCAGCCGGGTAAGGGACTGGCAGAAAGGGTCCCACGAACTAGCCCGAGCAGGGACCCGCATACCAAGATGAGCTGCAGGCCCTCAAGGGAGGACTACTTCCTTTTTCTTGGCTGCCGCTTTCTGAAAGGAGTGAGCTATCATCAGTGCTGTGAAATAAAAGTCTGGTGTGCCAAATACCTTGTGTTTGCACATAGTGATTGTAGTCATCGGAGCCGTCACTCGTTTGGATTGTTGGGCCCTCCTGCTATTGCCCTGCCCCTGAGTGCTCCAAGTCTCTGCTTGCCTCCTGCCTTCGCACCTTGCTGCTGTCCTCAACCATACACCCATACGTGCGAGACACGAGCCAACCCCAACCTACAGAGTTTTTTTTTTCAAGCTTTTCTCTTGCTTTAACAAAGTCTTCCCTTATTCTTAACAGATCCATTGCCTGAGATTCTGTCCTGAAAGAGGGCTCCTCTCTCCCAGAAGCAACCTGCCTTTGGGTTACTGGTACCATGCCTACGCTGTCCAAGAAATTATCTGCCACTCATTGGCAGTGTGACCTTGGGCAAGGCCTTTCCCCTCTCTTTACCTGCATCCTTGTAATAAGGATAAAAGTTGCTACAGTTTTTGAGCACCTGCTCTGTGCGCCACACTGAATAAGCAGTTTACCAGCATTTTCTCATTTAATTCACCCATTTTACAGAAAAAAGCTCAAGGCATAGAGGGGAAAAGTAATTTCCTAAGGTTGCAGAGCCAATAACATGAACGCCAGCTGTATCTGGTTCCCATGCGCCTGCTCTCTGTACTCTGAAGTTGCCTGCCTTCTCTGTTGCATCAGGGCCTTTTAAGCTCTGATGGCAGAGGCTTCTGCATAAAGCAGCCCTCTGGATAACTTCTCAAACTTGCCAGCCTGAAAGTATCAATAGATTTCCTGCTGCCTTGCCTACACTTGTCCTCAGTTAAGGGGAGAAGGAAATCAGCAGTATCAACAACGTAATTGGTAAAGACAGCAGCTTCATGGGGGTGTTGTGTGGGCCAACTAGGCTACATCTGCTTCTGCCTTCTCATGTCTGCGCCAGATCCCAGCTGGGCCACTATGTGGTCTCTCCTGATCAAGAAACTATCATTGTGGTTCTTCAGGATCAACCCTTGCTTCTCTTGGGGTGGGAAAGCCTTCAGTCTTGGAAGGTGGGCCTAACATTTCCCTGCTCTCCTGTCTTCTCCAGGTTGTGCACTGACATTTGGACGCCTGCTGAGGGCAGCATGCTTCTTTCCTGGGTGTGGATGACAGGTCACAGGGAAAAGGGAGGGCTGTACTGGGAAGTTCTTTCATAAACCAGTCTATGTTCCTGTCATTTTAGATCGAGCATCAGGGGGACAAGCTGGAGATGGCGAGAGAGAAACATCAGGCTTCCCAGAAGCAAAATAAACAGCTGAGTCTGAAGGTGGATGAATTGGAGAGGTTAGAGGCACTTGGTCCCATCTCTGTCTTCTTCCTAGGACCTGAGACTTTCAGCCACTTAGCTGCTTTGTGCTTAATGTGCTGAAGTGTTTGAGGGACTCAAGGCCCTGGAAGGTACTAGGCAGACCTCAGAGGAGAAGCTGCCTCCATTTCAGTGGTAAGCATCATGGGAGAGAGGAAGGTGGTCTCTTGGCTTGGGGGAATGCCGCACAACAGTGTGATCAAGATCAGACCACCTCTAGGCATCAGAAAGACACACTTCATCCAAGCAGCGCCTGGCCTGAGTGGAGCAGGCAGTACACTGCTGGGGGGCATTTCTCCCTCATTCTGCTCTTTGTTTCCTGTCATCCTTCCCTGATACCTTTCTGGCCTGACTCTTCTGTTACTACGGAGGACTGTTGGAGGCAATCAGAGGTGAAGACTTCACCTGCTGGGATCAGAAGTCCTGGCCTTGAGTTCCACCTCTGCCACTTAACCTGCTTTGTGATTTTAAGCAAATCATTTAACCCCTTTGAACCTCAGTTTCCTCATCTTGAGAAAGGGACCAAGGTAGGGGTAATAATCTAGCTCATTGGGTTATTGTGAGTCTTCACCAAAATAATGCCTCGTAAAGACATTGAGAAATGTTCAGTATATGTTAGCTGGTATTATTCCAATTTTAAATATGAGGAAACAGACTTGGAGAGAGAGTGACTTGCCCAGGGTCACACAGCTGTACATGGCAAAGCTGCAACTTCGATCCGTGACTGCCTTTCTTCAGAGTTTGTGGTAGTATCTGTAAAATGCAGTCTGGAGACTCCTGGCAACGGTCCGGCCTTAGTAGCAGAGATGAAGGGCCTCAGGTGCTAGGAGGCTGTAACTGCTCAGGTTGGTGGACTAATATACCTGGAGGCAGGGACTTGAACCAGGTGGTCTCTTTCTGGGCTCCACCTCAGCTCTGCTGGCCTTGAGGATGCAGCTAGATTCAGCAGAACTTACAGACCTCCTTCAGTTGGAAGGCGCTCTGGAAGTGCATCGGGATGGTCCCTGCTGCTCCTTGGCTGGTCACATAAGATGTTGAGAGGTCCAGCTGAAGACCTTTTGCTGAGGGAGGCAGCAGTGAACAGTAGAAGTTGAAAGCATGGGTTTTGGAGACAGACCTGCCACCTGTGCTGACCTTGGGCCAATGACGTCACTTCTCTGAGGCTCAGTTTCTTCATCTGTAAAACAGGAGTAATAATAGTACCCACCTCCCTGAGCTGCCATGTGCTGTATTACATGTGATGATAATGTACACTTAGCACAGCCCACAGTCAGTCCATGCTTGTTTTTCCCACTTTTCATACTGTACTGTAACCACCTTCTCCAGTTGCATAGCTCCTTGGTCTTCTTGCTGATCTGTAGATCTCTTTGGCCTATTCCTCTGGCTCCTTGGAGAGTCTCGGCATGATGAGAGCCCTGATCCAGGAGTGGCTGACAGCCCCCTGGTGGGGTAGAACGGGACAGGTGAGGATATGACGAGATCTGATTGACTGCTTTCACCTAGGAAACTGGAGGCAACCAGTGCCCAGAACATCGAGTTCCTACAGGTGATTGCCAAGAGGGAGGAGGCAATCCACCAGTCCCAGCTACGGCTAGAGGAGAAAACACGGGAATGTGGGACCCTAGCAAGGCAGTTAGAGAGTGCCATTGAAGATGCTAGGAGGCAGGTCAGTCTCAATTCCATTACTACCTAGCTGTATGACCTTGGGCAAATCACCTAACCTCTCTGAGCCTATTTCCCCCATCAGAAAAACAGGCCTAATCGTAAGTACCTGCTTCATGAATTTGTTGGAAGAATCAAATGAGTAACTATTGTAAAGGGCTTAGCACTTTATTGTTGATGATTATGATTTAATTGCTGCTCACTTGGGATTCAGGAGGTTTACCACATCTTAGGTGATGACTCATGGGGCATCGGGAAAGGGCAGGTAGAGCTGGATTGCAGAAGTAATCCCTTTAGTTTGCTCCTGCCCTGAGGCTCCAGGGGCTCTGAGCTGATGTGCAGATGCTCTTTGTGAGACCCGATAGTGGGGGTGGCCCAGCTTTCTCTTTGCCAAGTGTCCAGGTCAGGGACGACAGCCCTACTTCTGTGTCCTCTGTGCAGGTGGAACAAACCAAGGACCATGCAGCCTCCAAGGAGCGAGCAGCCCAGAACAAAATCCTGGACCTTGAGACCCAGCTGAGCAGGACCAAAACAGAACTCAGCCAGCTGCGGCGGAGCCGTGACGATGTGAGTGGGCAGGGGAGAAAAGAGGGGAGAGAGTTGAGATTTTAGCCTTCCTTGGTGTTTTAATGAATATAACATGATTTTCTCTTTCTCCAAACACTTTCCCATCCCTTAAGGATATCTGCGGCTCATACCCCTCCCCCCCTTTTTTAACAGCTTTATTAAGGTAGTTTTTACATATCATAAAATTCACTTATTCAGATTGAACAATTCAATCATTTTTAGTATATTTATGAGTTGTGAAGTTATCACCACAATCTAAGTTTAGAACATTTTCAAAAAGAAACTCCATACTCATTTAGCCACATTCTCCTCCCACAGCCCCTGGCAACCATTAATAAAGTCTCTATGGACTTGTCTATTCTAGACATTTCACATAAATGGAATCATACAGTATGTGGTTTTGTGACTGGCTTCTTTCGCTTAGCATATTTTTAAGGTTCATCCATGTTGTAGCGTGTATCAGAACTTCACTCTTTTCTATTGTCACATAATATTACGTGGATGTACCACATTGTGTTTATCTGTTCAGCAGTTGATAGACATTTGGGTTGTTTTCTCTTTTTGGCTATTAGGAATAATGCTGCCATGAACTGTTCTGTACAACTTTTTGTGTGGACATATTTTTCATTTCTCTTAGTTATATGCCTACACCCAGCCAAACCCAAACCCATTGCCGTCGAGCTGATTCTGACTCATAGCTACCCTATAGGAGAGAGTAGAACTGCCTCATAGGGTTTCCAAGGAGCAGCTGGTGGATTCGAACTGCCGACCTTTTGGTTAGCAGCTGAGTTCTTAACCACTGAGCCACCAGGGCTCCAGTTATATATCTAGGAGTGGTTATATACCGAGCAGGGTCATATGATAACTATGTATAACTTCTTTGAGAAACTGCGAGACTATTTTCCAAAGTAGCTTCATCATTTTACATTCTACCAGCATGTATGAGGGTTCCAATTGCTCCATATCCTGGACAATACTTGTTTTCCTTTTTTAAATAATAGCCATTCTAGTGGATGCGAAATGGTATCTCATTGTGGTTTTGATTTGCATTTTCTCTAATGACTTACGATGTTGAGCATCGTGCTGGCCATTTGTATATCTTGTTTAGAGAAATGTCTATTAAAATCCTTTGCCCATTTTACAATTGGGTTATTTTTCTTTTTATTGTTGAATTGTAGGAGTTTTTTTAGATATTCTGGATACAAGCTCTTATCAGAAAAATGATTTGCAAATATTTTCTCCCATTCTGTGGGTTGTCTTTTTACTTTCTTGATGGTGTGCTTTGAAGCACAAACATTTTTAATTTTGATGAAGTGTAATTTATCTGTTTTTTCTTTTGTCTCCTGTGCTTTTGTTGTCACATCTAAGAAATCATTTCCTAACCCAAGATTATGAGATTTACTCCTCTTCTTTCTTCTAAGAGTTGTACAGCTTTAGCACTTAACATTTATGTCTGTGATCCAGTTTGAGTTAATTTTTGTATAGGGTGTGGAGTAAGGGTCCTACTTCCTTCTTTTTCATTTGGATAACCAGTTGTCCCAGCACCATTTGTTGGAAAGACTATTCTTTTACCTTTGAATTATGTTGGCACTCTTATTGCATATCAATTGACCATAAATGTAAGGGTCTATTTCTGAACTTTCAAATTTATTCCATTGATACATGTGTCTGTCTTTATGCCAGTACCACATGTAGTAAGTTTTGAAATTGGGAAGTATGAATCCTCCAATTTTGTTTCTCTTTTTTCATGATTATTTGGCTATTTTGGGTCCCTTACATTTACATATGAATTTTAGGATCAGCTCATCAATTTATGCAAATGAGCCAGCTGAGATTTTGTTAGAGATTGTGTTGTCTCTAGATCAGTTTGGAGAGTATTGCCATCTTAACAATGTTGTCTTCCAATCCATGAACACAGGATGTTTTTACATTTGTTTAGGTCTTTAATTTCTTTCAACAATGTTTTATAGTTTTCAGAGTACAAGTCTTCTACTTCTTTTGTTAAATTTATTTGTAAATATTTTATTCTTTTGATGCTATTTTAAGATTCCATATGTTTGATCAGTTTAATTTCATTTCTTCTCTTCCCCTCAGCTCAGGCTTGACCTGAGGCTCAAGAGATCTACATGGGGGAAGGTCTTTGGTCCATTCTTCCTTTTCCTGTTTCCTTTGGCTATAGGTCTTCTGTTGGGTTCTGGAAGGAGAGAAAAGAAAGGGGGCCACCATGTCTGTATTTTGCTGGGCCTACAATTCACCCTCTCCGGTGGTACCACTGACTGGTATTGATGCCCTTCATGTGGCTGAGCTCCTCAGGGGTTCAGCAGGGCCTCCTCACTGCATAGTCCCCTGCTGTGGGAGATTCAACTCAGTACTGCTTATTTCTTGCTGCTTTAGCTTCTGGCTCTGGTGTTACTCTCTCAGCTTGTCCTTCTGGGTTTCCTGGCAGGCAAGGTTTCCACATCGTTCTTTCATAATGTCATGGCCATAATGATTAGGAATTTGGGTGTTTCAAATGGGCTGAGTAAAGTTGTATCCCCATTTACAAATACAGAAATTAGTCTTAGAGAACCCAGGCAGTATGTCTGCACAGTTTACATTAATCATAACCATATAATCTTTCATTCAACCAGTATTTATTGAATGCTTTTTACCCTAATCTTCACGTTTTTTGGCTCTGAGAGAGGCCCCTTTGAGATTCTGACAAAGGCCATGGTACTTACTATCCCCTGCCCCAAATACCCAAATATCTCCAGTTTTGTATATAACTTCAGGGCATTACACACCTCAGATTAAAGGCCCCTGGTAGGCCAGGCACTGAAGAATATGGTGATAAGAAATGAAGAAACCCAGTGTCTCTGTTGGAAGACAGAAAAGTGAAACTGACCATTCCAAGCAGAGGATTAATGCTGTCATGGGGAGGAAGGACCACCTGACCTCTACTTGCACCTAGTACACTTGACCCATGCTCTCACTGTTTGTCCTCTTAGGCGGACCGCCGCTACCAGAGCCGGCTGCAAGACCTGAAAGATCGCCTGGAGCAATCAGAGAGCACCAATCGCAGCATGCAGAACTATGTCCAGTTCCTCAAGTCATCATACGCCAACGTTTTTGGGGATGGTCCCTACACTACCTACCTGACCAGCTCTCCCATCCGCTCCCGGTCTCCTCCTGCCTGAGGCCACTTGTCTTGGGCCAGGAGTCCTAATTGTTGCCGTGGAAACTATGGAGTTGCCAAACCATACCTGGAAAGCTTGTTGGTTTTCCTCTCTTCCAGTGAAGAAATGTGTTCAGGATCTTGTCCTTAGCTACTGGCTCCAGAAAAGTCCCTGAAGCAGCATGGGGATGAAGCGGTTTTTCATGACCCCACTTGATTCTCTCTTCCCTGATATAGTTGCCTGATGGAAGTTTTTAAATTAACTTGACAGGCCTTACATTTACTACTCTAGGGTACCCGATTTTAGCTCACCATGACCTTGGTCATTCCTTTCCCCGGAGAGTGTTTGGACTGAGCCTATTCCTCCAGTCCCCTTATAGCCCTCTTCTCTTGAGGAATCTCCCTCCTCCTAGGTTTTTTCTGCAGGTTTTCTCAGCAGGAGCTGTTAGGCAGGGGTCTGCCTTCCTCCTTATCCCTCCTACCCCTCCTGGGCTATGAGCATCTTCACTTGCTTTATTTCTTACTTCATGGGTGCAGTGTTTTTCCCAAGGCTCCCTTCCCAAGTTCAGTGGCAACCTCTCATGCCTAAGAGTTTCCTTGAGGTCATTTACCCACAAGCACTTCACAACAGACTGTCTAGGGCTCATGTCCTATTGGACTTTTAAAAGTGTAACCCCAATCTGATTGATTTTTTGTTTCTCTTTGCCTGGTTTGTATCTAAGGAATGGATTTGTTCCTGAAAAGTTTGTGTTTTACAAAAAGCTTTTATAATCAGTATTTAAGGCTCTATTGGATGATTTCCATTACATACCCCATCTCTTTTCTAAAAATGATCAATAAAACCCCAGGAATCTTTTTACAAAGTGATGCAGGTGAGCCAGTAAACATTTTTAAAGTACTTGGTGCATGGAACATTAGGCCTTTCATTTCATTTTGGCCCATGTTGGTTCTTTGTCCTTTGTGTGCTTTCACATTATAATCCTGTGAGATGTCTGGAGGAAACAAGCTTTGTAAAGTATTGCTCAGTGTTTTGGGGCAGACAACTTTAGTTGTTAGGGGGAGATAAGATGTATATATATTACTTTTGTTTAAAAAATGTTAACTGGTTTCTGAAAGATAAGATTATGGGCCATTTGTTTTCTTCAAACTTCCCTGTATTTAAAAGAAAGCAAGCAAAACTTTTTTTTTTTTTTTTTTTTTTAATAACAGAGAAAAGAACAAATTTGGTGCTGCTGTGCTGAACTCTAACCTTTCCAGTCTAGCTGGTATTGGCCTTCTGGGTGATCCAGTCTTGTCCTCTCTGTCACTCTAACCCAAGTACAAAACTCTAGAGAATCCCTCTTATGTCTTTGAAGGCAATGGGTCTCATTCAGATATCTGGATTTTATAGACCATAAAAATCCCCTGTCCCCCAATTTTGGGAATATTTGGAGGTTTTCATCTTTTTTTAACTGTGCCGAGGAAAGTCATTTAAAAAAAAACAGTCAGCTATTATTGTCGCAAAATCAAGCCCATTTTCACACCCTTAAGGTAAATGGACTTGAACTTATACAATATCTGAAAGTTCTTTGCAAGAAAAGATAGTTGGCAAACTTAACACCAATATGCATACATACCTGTGTAACTCATTATTTTTGTCATACTAGTGAACACCTTCTCAATGAAAGGCATTGGTGTATGACTCTGTGTGAGAAACACCTCTCTTGGAGTGTATTGCTGGGACTCTTCAAAAACATTCTATTTTTCTTTGTAAAATATTTTGTCACAAAAAGTCCAAGGAGTTTGTAAAATATCAGAAAGAAGAATAAATGTTTATATTGCTTCAAACTCCAGAGAGAAGCCTTCCTACCTCAAACTGAGAGCCCATAAAATATGGTACACAATAGAAGGGTCAGAAAGTCTGGGTTCCTAGTTTAAAAAGCTGACTCTGGGCAATTATGAATCATACTTGATTTATTTTATTTTTATTGAGATATAAAATAAAGTGTACAATTCAGTAGTTTTTAGTATATTCACAAAGTTGTACAACCATCACCACTATCTAATTCCAGAACTTTTTCATTAACCACCCCCCCCAAAAAAAAACTCTTACCTGTTAGCTGTCACTCCCTGTTTCCCTCTCCCCCAAATCTCTGGCAACCGCTAATCTACTTTCTGTCTCTATGGGTTTGCCTTCTCTAGCCATTTCACATAAATGGAATCATAAAATATGTGGCCTTTTGTGACTGCTTTCACTGATGTTTTCAAGGTTCATGTATCATGTATCCGTATATCATTCCTTTTTATGGCAGAATAATATCCCATTGTATGGCTAATACCACATTTTGTCTATCCAATCACCAGTTGAGGGACATTTGGGTGGTTTCCATTTTTTGGCTATTATGAATAATTGTTATAAACATTTGTTTACAAGTTTTTGTGTGGGTGTATTCATTTCTCTTGAGTATATACCCAGGAGTGAAATTGCTGGCTTATATGGTAACAATGTTTCACCTTTTGAGGAACTGCCAGTCTTTTCCACAGAGGCTGCACCATCTTACACTTCCACCGGCTGTGTATGGGAGGGGTCATAGAGCATTGGATCTTATATAATTCTGAGGCGGAAGTCCCCGAGCGAGGGCGCCAGGGATAGGCTCTTCGCAGAAGTGCGAGCGTGGGCGAGGTACGTCGCTGGAGGCGGGGCGCCCAGCCGTTAAGGGAGGGGATTCCGGGCTCGCGGCCCGGAAGCGGAAACGAATGTCCATTTCCGGGCGGCTGATTCGAGGGCTTGTTTTGTCCCAAGCAACGCCTCAGACGGGTTGCAACCTGTAGGGCCATGCCTTCCGAAGGCCGCTGCTGGGAGACCCTGCAGGCGCTGCGCAGTTCTGACAAAGGCCGCCTCTCCTACCACCGTGACTGGCCGCTGCGAGGCGAGGTGAGCAGATGGCCCCTTATGGGGTAGGTAGGCCCTTCGGCCCCTCGAGACACCCTTGCCTCGAGCGGGACCCAGCTCTTCTTGAGCCCTTGGCACGCCCTGTTCCGAGGTTCCCGTGAGTTCTTTTTAACAATCTGCATTTATTTCTTGACTCCTGTGTGTGTCTCCCTGTCTAGGGTCCTTGACTTTCCCAGCGTAGTCTAGCTTTTCGGGGAGCTCTCCTTTCTTGAGAATTGCTGTTTTCCTTAAAGGCTTCGTTGTTAACCCTAGCTAGAATTAGGCGCCTCTTCTTTTCAGAGCACCTCTGGCTTCTCAGGGTTATATAATTTACTGCGCGTCTCATATGGTGGGTTTTGTGCTGGGAGCTCTGGATTTAGCGGAACAATTAGCTTGGCCTAATCGATTGCTGCCAGTGAAATGACCAAATTTTTAGATATTGGACGGACCTGGAAAGTTCGCGGGGCGTGGTCATTGTGCCTAGTATTTGTAGAGCCCTCTACTGGACAGCAGGAGTGTGTGTTTGGGGGTGGGGGGGAGGTGAACAGTTAAAGCATAGCTCCTGTTCCCGAGTTGCTGGTAATCTAGCTACAAATACGGTGTTGTGTCTCCTCAGACATCTGTGTGGAACAGTTCTAAAGTGTTTCTCTGTCTTTTGACAATTTTAAAGACTACAGACCTTACATTTTGTAGGATGACCCCAGCATGGGTCTGTCTGATGTTTTCAAACGACCAGACACAGTTTATACATTCTTGGCAAGAAAACCACAGAAACATGCTGTATTCTTCTCAGGAGGCACATAGATGTCAACCATCCCAACATCAAAGTTTCGTGTTGCAGACCTTGATCACTGCTTACATTGGTGTCTGCCAGGTCATTTCCTTAAAAGTCATCATTTTTGCTTTTGTAATAGATTAGTATTTTGTGGGGAGATACTCTGAGATTACACCAATATCCTTTTTCTCATCAAACCTCCTCCCACCAGCCTTAGGATTCATTGATGACTTCTGTGATGTTGCCAAATGGTGTTTCTTTACGTCCATCATTCCTTCTGCATGTGTTAGTAGACATTCTTTAAGGGAGAGGTTTCTTTATTCCTCTGTTTAATTATTTATAGCAGTATGGACTCCTGGGTTCCTATTCATTCAATGAGTTGTAATTCTTTACTGTCATTATTTTGATGCTCAAAATTTTCCAGATTTGGCCGCTGAGAGCCTCTTCAAGCTGCCTCTTATGTCCCTTTGACATGTTTCATTATTAATCCACCGTTTCTTTACTTTTTGTCACAAAAAGGTGTCCCAAGTGCAAGTTGTACTTTCTCTGTCTCAACCCTGGGATCAGCCATTTCTCCAAAAAGTCTGATTTCTTTTAAGTGGAGTATGGTATTTACAAACCAAGATCTGGGAGCTCAGTGTGGTCATTGTTACTCGAGTACAATTGCTTCTAGGCCTTCTCAGTGGACAGAGCTAGGAAATACATGTGTGTATATCCGTACACATATACATACATGCACACACATATATTATCTATAACTATTTTTATATCTATCTATACATATGTATTTTAAAACCATGAGTTCATACTGATAACCACCACTTCCAATCCAGTACCTCTGGGTTTTTTTTTTAGCCTTCCCCCATTCATGTTTGTAAATATATTATCCAGCAACGAGAATCTCAGCCCTGTTAACCTCAATATATTTACTTATTTGCTCAATCAGTTTATTTATTTAGTTAACTGTAGCAATCTTCAGTCCACACTGGTTGTTTCCTCCACCAGTTTCCTCCTGGAACCAACCAGCCCACCACCTACCTTCCTTCATCCTCTCCTGCTTTGCTGACACTTCCATGCCAAGGGGCAAGAGAAAGGGCCTCATCAGTCTTTGAACATTTTTTTACTTTCTGGTACAACAAGATGTTCCAGGCTCATCTTATATTTCCCCATCCCCAGCTCTGGAACCTACCATTTATGCAAGGACCCCTGGTGTCTTTTTTGTGTAAAATCGTATTAAGAAGCCAATATCTGGGCAGTAGATGTGCCCAGTACTACTATAGGAGTGTCATTGCTTCTAGGTCTTCTCAGTGGACAGAGCTAAGAAATATATGTATGTATTTACATACGTGTGTGTGTGTGTGTGTGTGTGTGTGTGTATACACACACATCTATATCACTTCTATATGTATGTATGTGTATACACACGTATATATTTCTATATATATTAAAAAACTGAGTTGATGTTGATATATGTACACAAATCTGTATTTCTTATATACAAGTATACGCAAGGTGGCATCACAAGGGTTGGTGTCACCCAGTGCCGTAACTCATGGTGTCACACCCCTGTGCTAATTACCACAATATTGTAGTTAGAACACCAGAAAATTTGACAAAATCAGCCACTATAAAAATGCTGGCAACAACAAAAACAATAGCACATGCTTATAATGCATGCAGATGAAACCATGTGATTCAAAGCATCATTGTAATTGGGTAATAGTAACAGCTCTGACCAGAACACATTAGAAGGTTCAAAAAGTAAATTAGCATAGAGTTTTAGCCTTTTAGGTATAGTGATACATGTAAGCTGGGCTTATGAAAAATTTTTTGTTGTTATAACTACAGTGATAGTTTTATAAAAAATAATAAATTTCTGCTGAAACACTGCACAAAACTTTTATAGACAGTCATTTTGGTGTCACCCTCTCTAACAGTGTCACCAGGTGCAGTCTGCATCCCCCGTACCTCCCTAGTGATGCCATTACTGGTGGCTCAGTGGTTGCGTGCTTGGCTGCTAACCGGAAGGCTGGAGGTTTGAACCTACCTGTGCTCCATGGGAGAAAGATGTGGCACTCCGCTTCCTTAAAGATTACAGGCTGGGAAGCCCCATGGGGCAGTTCTACTCTGTCCTCTAGGGTCACTATGAGTTGAAGTCGACTTGACAGCAATGGATATGTGTACATACATATATCTATATCTATTTCTAGATATATTAAAAACCAGGAGTTCATATTGATATCTTCAGTTTTTATCTAAAACGAGAGGGTTCATTCTGCCTTTCCCCGTTTTCCTTCTCTGACAGTGAGAAACCTGACTCCTTTATCCACAATATATTTATTTGTTTATTCAACCCTAAAATACATAAAAAATAGTTTTTAAACTTTAGAATTTAGAATACCTCTGGAAAAACACGTATACTAACTAGAGTTCAGTATTTGTTTACAGTTTTTTTTCTTTAGCCTGAGAGTTTATAGTCAAAATGCTGTGTTCAGAAGTTATTTGGATTAGTTTTACTTCCACTCCCGCCTCCTGCCAACGTGGTTGTTTTATTCATTTGAAATGTATTAATTAGGTCCATTTGTTTTTATTTATATTCCCTTCTAGGCTTTTCCTCCCATTGTTGATTTTCTTTATTTTGAGTATGTGAAACATTAAAATATTTAAGAAATCAGAACTATACAAAAAGATAGAGAAGTGTCACTCCTCCCATCTCTTTCACAATTTCCCAGCCACTCACTGTAGGTAACCTATCTCATTTCTGGTTTATCTTTCCTGTGTTTCTTTTTGCATAAATGAGCAAACACATGTATTTTGTCTTATTTCCCCTTCTTTTGTACACAAAATACTTTAGGTAATTCTTTTACACTTATTGCTTTTCACTTCATATAAGATTCTTCCCCCCAGTTGCATAATATTTCATTGTGTAGAGGTACCACAGGTAATTCAACAACTCTTCTATGTATGGATATTTAAATTCTTTCCAGTATTTTGCAGTTATAAGCAATATTACAATGAATAAACTTGTGCATGTGTATTTTCATTTTGTGGGAAGTATATCTTCAGGATAAATTCTGAGAAGTGAGATTGCTGGGTCAAATGGTAAATACATATGTAGTTTTGTTAGCTATTGCCAAATTTCCCTCTATAATCAATGTACCAATCAGCAATGCCCACAGCCTTGCCAACAGAATGTATTCCCATATTCTAAATTTTTTTGTTAATCTAATAGTCAAGAATGGGATCTCAGTGTAGTTTTAATATGCATTGCTCTTATTTTGAGTGAGGTTGAACATATTTTCATATGTTAAGGAACCAGTTTTATATCTGTATTTGTGAATTGCCTGTTTATGTCTTTTGCCTGTTTTTCTTTTGGAATTTTGGTGGTTTTTCCCCCCTGATTTTTAAGTTTCTTTATATATTAGGGATAATAGCCCTTTATCTGTAATCTATATCGCTTTTTTTTTTCCAGTTTATCGGTTGAATTTTTCTTTGTTAATGGTGCTTTTTGTATGTATGGTTTATTTTTTTAATGTGAAACTTTGTCCCTGGAATTTATTTTGGCGTAAGGAATGACTGAAAAGTGTTGTTCCAACATTATTTCTAATATGTTTTTTAAATCATTATAAAGTGTACATATCAGCATGTTTGCTTCCATGTCCAGATTGTTTGCCATGGTATGAATATCTGTTTATTGTACATGTGATGTGTACCCATGATCTAGATCAGGGCTTCTCAACCAGGGCACTATTGACATTTTGGGCTGGGCTGGATAATTCCGTGTTGTAGGGGACTGCTGTCTTGTCCATTGTAGAATGTTTAGCAGCATACCTGGCCTTCACCTACTAGATGCCAGTAGCACCTCCCAGTTGTGACAACCAAAAATATTTCCAGACATTGCCAGATGTCTTCTGGGGGGTAAATTTGGCCCCACTTGAGAACCACTGATCTAAATAAAATAATAGCTTGCAGTTATTGAGCACTTATTATGTGCCAGGCACTATTCTAAGTTCTTTACATGTGTTAGTTATTAATCCTCCCACAAACCTATGAGGTGGGTCGTTTATGATCCCATTTTGGAAGTGATGAAGCTGAACCACAGAGAGGCTAGGTAACTTAAGAGGAATGCGGAGATGGAATTGAAACCTGGAAAGGATGGTTTCAAGCTCAGTGCTCTTAATCACTATAATACTGTTTCTCTGTATTGTCCCTAGCCTTCTATGTTATCATGGTAATATTTCTTGACATTGAATAAAGATCCCAGCCAAAATTTGCCTTGTACATTTTAACTAGAGTTAAAATGGTATAAGTTTCTCTGGTTAAAAGCACTGTTGACCAAACATATAGATAATAGTTAACTGGTACAGTTGAATGAGTTGTCCACACAGATACTGTAGAGTGTCTAGGACCTGTTTTAGACCTTCTATTATAAATCCCATTTCATTCAAGCCACAGACTGTTATATCAGTGACCACATTTCTGTCTTTTTGGATATGCTTCTTATTTTCATTTGAAAAATCATAACATGTTTATTGAAAAATCAGGAAATACAGAAAATAAGAACACTCATCATTCAGGCATAACTTCTGATATATTTCCTTTATGTTTTTTAATACAGTAACATTTGTTTTTACTTTATGTAATTGTAATACTATTGTATTTATACTTCTGTTTTTTCACTTAAAATTGAATCTTAAATATGTTATTACATTGGATTCACAATCAGTATTTTAAAATGACTTATTATTGGTTGACACAATCAATATTCTATTATTATAGTATAATATTTATTATGTATTTTTGGAGCCATGGTGGCATAGTGGTTAAGCATTTGGCTGCTAACCAAAAGGTCAGCAGTTCAAATCCACAGCCGCTTCTGGAAAACCCTGTGGGGCAGTTCTACTCTGTCCCATAGGGTTGCTATGAGTCTGAATCGACTCGATGGCAACGGGTTTGGTTTTTTTGTTTTTACTCTAATTTACTTTAAAATTCTTCTAGTGTTCTCTACAAACATGAGACAAATGTAGAGATCCCAGGGCTCAGGCAAAAGGGGGCAAGACTGCTAGAATAGTAGCTGAAATATAAGTAGGATCCCTCAGGAAAAGTAAAATAAAATAGAAAGGAAGTGGGAAAAAATTGTTTTCCGGTGTTATATTCCAATGTTTATTTAGATTGCTTTCAGATATACTTTAATGACAATCTTTGTGCATTGTTCGTTTTTCTGTAGTCAGGGTTATTTAGTCTGATATTCTTTAGAAGAATAGTGGTTAGGGTCATTATCAAGGAACCACTGTACCTTCTCTTCATCTCTGAATGTTAATATGATTACTTGGGCCTTTGATATTTACTTAAACCTTAGACTTTCAATAAGGTACATTGGGCATAACTCTCCTTTTCTCTGTAGGATATTTTAGAAGAATGTATGTCTCTTCCGAAGCTATCTGCTTACTCCGGATGGGTGGTAGATCATGTCTTACCCCATACAGAAGAGAACTCACTACCCTCTGAGACATCAACATCGTCTGAATCTACTTCAGCCCTAGACCAACCCTCATTTGTTCCCAAATCTCCTATCAGAAACCCTGCATTCTCAACAGCTTCCCTCACAATGCCAGATGGAACCAAGGTAAGGTTTCAGTCATCTTAAGACCAAAGACATAGTGGCTGCAAAACTGAAGTGTTTAATGGTGTCGTACAACATTGACCTTACCCTAGGGAAAATGCTTTTTGTTGCACCTGTTTGTAGGGACATTGCTTACTACTTCACCTAGTGTTCTCTCTGTAAAGACTTAGAGGTAGAAATTCCTATTCTTAGTACCAAGAAAGTAATGAATTTCATGAGCAATTGAATTGTTTTTTCTCATGAACATTGCAGCTGTTTAACTGGTAAGGTCTCCCCTTTTATGTTGGTTGCTGGAAAGCTTAGAGTCAAATTTATAGCCTGTTCTGAAAATTTAAGTACCTTATCATTGGTTCTGTATGAGTTTTTATTCCAGTGCTACGGTTTTTGTATAGGTTGTCATGTTGCTTTCCAAAAGGATTATTTCAATATATAATATTTGTATATTTCTTATAAGCTTGGGAATTCTAAAGATCCTGTAACAGACTTCTTACTTGCTGTTGAAAAGTATGTTTTAGGTTATGGAGTGTAAAATGCTGTACTCTTCCTTTTAATAAGATGGGCTTATTCATTCATTCACTTAACAAATTTTATTTGTGTCTAGGTGCAGCAAACCCACTTTTAGATATCTGTTCCAAAATTAAAAACCGTACCCATTGCCATCGAGTCAATTTTGACCCATAGAGACCACATAGGTTAGAGTAGAACTACCCCATAGGGTTTCCAAGACTGTGATCTTTACAGAAGCAGACTGCCACATCTTTCTCCCACGAAGCAGCTGGTGGGTTCAAACCACAGACCTTTCAGTTAGCAGCCACGCGCTTTAACCACTGCACCACCAGGGCTACTAACCTAAAGATCAGTGGTTTGAATCCACCAGCAGCTCCGTGGGAGAGCGTGTGGCAGTCTGCTTCTGTAAAAATTTACAGCCTTGGAAACCCTGTGGGGCAGTTCTACTCTGTCGTATAGGGTTGCTGTGAGTCAGAATCGACTGACGGCAATGGGCTTGGTTTCTTTTTTGTTTTTACTCCAAAGATATGCTGGTAGAAATACAAAATAATGAGTAGTCATGTGCCGCATAATGTCCATTTGGGCAATGTGTGACCACATACACATCCGTGGTCCCATAGGGTTATACATATATAGTTTATATTTCACCTTTCTGTCCATGTAAAATACTTAAACACTTCCAAACCTCACAGTGTTTTCATGAGCATCACAGAGTAGTGCGTGCATTCATTATTGTGAACCATTGTATTTAACTCAAAATTTTAATATGATAGGGTTTATGGTAATCTGTTCTTAAGTACAAGTTGTCTGTAAGTTGGATGTTAGTAACCCAGGGACTGCCTGTATAAAATATGGTGTTCACACAACGTCCAAATCCCATAACGTCGTATTTCACAGAACATATTGTGGATATTAAGCAACACATGACTGTATACTTAAAGCTATTCATAGCAGCATTAATTGTAATAGTGAAACGTAGGAAATAACCCAAAAGTCGATTAAAAGGGAACTAATTGAGTAAACTTCGGTATATCTGTATCATTGGAGTACTATCTAACTGTGAAAAGAAATGAGACAGATACTTCATATTAATATGGAGTGATTTCCAGGATATATTGTAAAATGGAGAGAAAACAAGGTACAGAGCAGTATTTTTAAAATTCTACTTTCTGTGCCAGAAAGCAACCCCTAAAAATTGAAAACAAACCTAATTTTATAACAAGTTCTGACATAACCCACACAGAGAAAGTAATTACTTACAGTAACTTAATACATTGTACTTGACTTTGTGACATTTATTCTAAGGCAGAAAGAACCACAAAACAATTATTAAACTGCAATTAGTAGTCTTATTATTATTAGTATTATTATTATGACTGTTTTGATGCTATTATAGGAATTTTGTAGGGTAGAACAAATAATAATGTTAATTTTAAAAACCAAGATTATCAGCATTAAAAGAGATACAAGTATAAAAATAAACAATGGTAAGTGAAAACACTGTAATCTTATATTTGCATTGAAAACATTAGTATGAATTCATGATTTTTAAAAACTTTCTTAAAAAAAAAAGTATTTCGTAGTTCTGTCCAGTGTAAGACCAAGAAATAATTATAACCCAGTAACAGTGAACAACCTTAGTATCCAGATGGAAGTCTTTAAATATCTCATATTAAGAGCAACCAGAGATTTTTGGGGAGATGGTTGATTTCAGTGCTAAGGTGAGAAATACACAAGATGAGCCTGGGACGTCTTGTAGTGCCATAAAGCAAGGAAACTATCAAAGACCACTGACCACAATTATGTTTCCTTTCCAGGCTTATTTTCCTCTCTTAAGTATTAACGTTGGAATTCCTCAAGGTTTAATCCTAAACCCTTTGCTTCTTAATCTATGCTGTCTTGTTAGGCAGGTCTCATCCCTGCTCGCTCTTCTATATATGGATCACAACCTTATTATCCTTAGCCTAGAACCAAATGTCCAACTGTCTATGTGTTATTTCCTCTTGGGTATCTTAAAAGCTTCTTGAAGTCAACATTTCTAAATCTAAACTCATAATCAGCTATCCTTCTGTGTCATCACCCCTACCCTGGGAAAAAACAACAAACCCAACCGGGACCTCTACTACTGTTCTCTACCTGATTATTCAAAGCAGAAACCTAGGTGTCATCCTTAGTAATTTTGTTCTCCTTACACTCCATATCTAATTCATTATTATTATTTTAATAATATTTTATTGTGTTTTTAGTGAAAGTTTACACAGCAAATTAGTTTTCCATTTGACAGTTTCTATACAAATTGTTCAGTGGCATTAGTTACATTTTTCACAATGTGTCCACATTCTCTTTAATTATGTTTTGGTTTTGTTTTCAGTACTGTAGTTTCCTTGCTTCCTTATCTTCTCATCTTTGCTTTAGAGTAATTGTTGACCTTTTGATCTCATATGGGTTTTTTTTTTTAATGGAGCATCATACTCATGGATAATATCCTTTATTTTATGTGCCAATCTCATATTTTGCTAGAAGATTCCCTCGGGATAGTTTTGGTTCAAGGTTTAAAGAGTATCTCAGGGCGATAGTCTCAGGGAGTCATCTAGTCTCAAATGGTCCAGTAAGTCTGACCTTTTTAAGAATTTGAGTTCTGTTCTGTGGTTTTCTCCCATTCTGTCAGGGTACATCTATTGTGGCCCTGATCAGAATGGTCAGTAGTGGTAGCCGGGCACCATCTAGTTTTTCTGGTTTCAGGGTAGATGAGGCCATGACTTGTGTAGGCTGTTAACCCTATAGACTAGTTTCTTCTCTGAAACTTTGGTTTCCTTTTTTCTCTTTTGCTTCTCAGAGTAGAGACCAATAGTTGTGTCTTAGATGGCTACTGCACATGCGATGGTTCACTTGTATGGCCTTTCTTGCCATGGTCTTGTAACTCCCACCCAAGTGATTGGATGGGACTGTGAAAATAAGGTAATTGTGGCCCACCAAGGGAATTGGTCAGTTTTGCCATCCTGCTAGGCTTAAAATGAGCCATCCTAGAGGTGGAAAGAGGATCTCACTACCACCAAGGAAGAAGAGCCAGGAGTGGAGTGCCTCTTTTGGACCAGGGATCCCTGTGCTGAGAAGCTCCTGGAACCAGGAGACAGAGAGAGAGCTGTGATACTGAAGAAGGTGAGAAGCAGCAGCAGCAGAACCAGGAGACCGGCAGGAGACTGCCCAGCCCATGGAGCAAGAAAGCTGAGTGCCTTCGAGCAGGAGGCTTGGTGTGGAGTAGAGTTCCTCTAGGCACTTGGTGGAGCTAGGTTTGCTAACCCACAGAGCTAGAGCTGAGTGCCTGTGTGCAGGAGGCTTCGTGGTGGAGTGGGGTGCCTCCAGGCACTTATTGGCAAAGCTGAGAGAGCTTTGTAACACTTGCCTGAGCAGGGCAGAGGCCAGGGGGCCAGAGAGAGGCATGCGTGCGAGCACAGCTGAGAAAAGGCTGTCATGATGGAAGAACTGTATCCTTGAATGTTCCTGAACCTGAATTGTAACCTGTTATTTCCGTAATAAACCCCATAATTGTGAGTATTGTCTGTGAGGTCTGTGTGGCCATTACAATGAATTATCGAACTCAGCAGAGAGGTAGAGAGTACCATGGGAGGGACAGTTGGTGTCAGAATTGGTAAAGGGTAGAGAGAGGAGGCATGTCTGACCTCTGCCTCATGGGAATCAGCCTTGGGCTGTTGATTTTGATTCTCCTTCCCCCTTGTGAAGTTAAAGAGGAGTTCAGATGACGACCCTCCCCCGGTATTTTTACAGCTGTTCGCAAGGTTTTGAAACCCCAGACGTTACTTGCCTCACTAGGATGCAGAACATGAACTTTGTGAAATTACATTATGCCAGTTGACTGAGCTGTGCTATGAGACCTAAGATCCTAAGCCTTCAAACCCAGAAGACCATTCTCACAGGGTGTTTGGTTATGTTTGAGAAGTTAATTCATTAAACCCGGTTATTTTTATGTAGGACTTTTTTTCTTTTTTCTTTTTTTTTTTTTAACCTGTTGCAGCTATGGGTTAGGAAATCTTTATTTTTATATAAATAAATATGATTTTATGTTGAAAAATAAACCAAACCTGTTGCTATTGAGTCTATTCTGACTCACATCGACTCTGTAAGATAGAGTAGAACTGCACTAGGGTTTTCATGGCTGTTATCTTTACAGAAGCAGACTGTACATCTTTCTCCCTTGGAGCAGCTAGTGGGTTTAAACTGCTGACCTTTGGGTTAGCAGTCAAGTGCTTAACTACTGCGCCACCAGAGATCCTAATCTCAAATAGTTACATAATGTATGATTCCATTTATTTAATATTCTTGAAACAACAAAATTACAGAGATGGAGAACAAATTAGGGATGGTGGGGAGAAGGTGAGTGTGGCTGTAAAGAGATAGCATTGGGAGCCTTGTGGTGATGAAATAGTTTTGTATCTTGAGTGTGGTGGCTTAAATGAATCCACACATGTGATAAAATTGCATAGGACTATACGTACACACAAATGAGTGTGTGTAAAACTGGTGAAATCTGAATAAACTTCATATTGTGGATTGTATCCATGTCAATTCACTGTTTTTGATATTTTACTGTATTTATGAAACATGTTACTATAGGGGGAAACGGGATGGAGAGTACACAGCACCTCCCTATCTGTTTTTGCAGCTTCTTTTGAATCTGTAAGTATTTCAAAATAAAAAGTTCAAAAAAAGAAAGTTTCTATGAGCAGCCTCTCAGAGTCAACGAGGTGTGAAGTAAGGGCCCAGGTTCTAGTTCTGATCTTGCCAATATCGTGGCGTGCACTCGGACAGGCCTCTTTCCCTCATGGGCCTCAGTTTCTTCATCTGCAAATCTGATAGCTGAACTAAATTATGGAGGTCCTCTCTAGGCATAAAATTCCATAATTCTTGGGGTTTAAATAAATTCTTTGGATGATTTTATATAATGGATTATTGTATCACTTAGGAACTTTTGGTGTTTAAGTAACAAACCCAGTTTAAACTAGCTTAAGCAAAGCAACAGGTGGGGAGGAATTAATTGGCTCATATACTAACCAGGAAATCTAGCAGTGGATCTAGAATCAGGCAAAGTTAGATCTAAAAGATCTACATTTTACTTGTCTCTGTTTGATGTTATTTCTGACTTTATCTAATGACTTACACAGAGAGCTTTGCCTCTATCCATCCCTCCACTCTGCCTGACTCTTCTTGGTTTCATTTGTTGGATAGACTGTATGTGGTAAGATGGCTTTTGGTAGCCCCAGATGCACAGCCTCTTAGGTTAGCAACTGTCTTGGTCATCTAGTGCTGCTGTAACAGAAATACCACAAGTGCCTGGCTTTAACAAAGAGAAGTTTATTCTCTCTCAGTCCGGTAGGCTATAAGTCCAAACTCAGGGGGCCGGCTCCAGGGGAAGGCTTTCTCTCTCTGTTGGCTCTGGAGGAAGGTCCTGGTCATCAGTCTTCCCTTGGTCTGGGAGCATGTCAGTGCAGGAACCTCAGGTCCAAAGGACCACTCTGTTCCTGGCACTGCTTTCTTGGTGGTATGAGGTCCCATGTCTCTCTGCTTGCTTCTCTCTTTTATATCTCAAAAGAGATTGGCTTAAGACCTGTCTAATCTTGTAGATTTCATCAATATAACTATCATTAATCCATTTTATTATATCATAGTGATAGAAGGATTTACAACACATAGGGAAATCACCTCAGATAACAAAATGGTGGTGTCATGGATTGAATTGTGTCCCCCAAAATGTCTGTTGGCTTAACTGGGTCATGATTCCTGGTATTGTATGATTGTGTAATCTGATGTGATTTCCTTATGTGTTGTAAACTCTATCACTACGTGAGGTTATATGTGATTTCCTTCCGTGTTGTAAAGTCTTATCACTATGATGAGGTTATACGTGATTTCCTTATGTGTAGTAAACTATGTCACTATGATGAGGTTATACTGATGAGGTCTACAAGATTGGGTAGTGTCTTAATCCAATCTCTTTTGAGATATAAAGGAGAGAAGCGAGCAGAGACACACGGGAACCTCATACCACCCAGAAAGCAGTGCCGGGAGCAGAGCTCGTCCTTTGGACCTGAGGTTCCTGCACAAAGAGAAACTCCCAGATCAAGAGAAGACTGATACATCACAAGGACCTTCCTCCAGAGCTGACAGAGAGAGAGAGAGAAAGCCTTCTCCTGGAACTGATGCCCTGAATTTGGACTTGTAGCCCACTGGACTCTGAGAGAATAAACTTCTCTTTGTTAAAGCCATCCACCTGTGGTATTTCTGTTGGAGCAGCACTAGATGACTAAGACAGGCAGATAGTCATACAATACTGGGAATCACGACCTAGCAAAGTTGACAGATATTTTTGGGGGACACAATTCAATCCATGACAGCAACTCCAGAAGAAGAGAAAGCCTTCTCAGCTCTACCGGAAAAGTTCAAGGATAAACTGTAGCCCAGCCTGGGTCATATGTTACATTCCTGAAGTAGATTTGGGTACAGTGGGATAGGGTAGTTTGATTGCCAGGTGGGTTATATGTTTACCCTTGAGGCCAGGAGAGTGGAAGAATTGGGATGTGAGTTGGAGTTGGCTCCATCTAAATCACCCCAGGATAAATGGGCACTTACCAAAGAAAGGAGCAAGATATGCTGGGGAGAGCACAACAAGCAAGCAGGCAAACAAGCGAAAAAAAGAAAAAAACCTAAAACCACCAAAAGCAACAAACATTAATTTACTAAGGAAAACAATTAGAACAAGGTCACTGTCATGAAACACACATTGGTTCTAACCTAAATTGTTTTATTGTTGTTCATAAGTAGGTATGTGTCTTTGTCTAGAAGGGATAATAACAACTTTACCACCTTAAAAGTTTAATTTTTTTTCCATCTTCTGTCTATATAGGGCAAACATGAATCCCAGCATATGGAATCTATGCTGCTTCAGTCCTCCCGGGGCATCAAAGTGGAAGGCTGCATCCGGATGTATGAGTTGGTACACAGAATGAAAGGAACAGTAAGTGAGCCATGTAGTAAGGCAGGCTTGACCCCGGAGAGCCATATTTTAATGCAGTTCCCTAGGGTTTACGAAAGCCCTTCTTATGCTAATCGTTATGCTTCGCCTACTAGGAACTCAAAATTCAAAGAGGTAGTATAATGTAGCGTTTAAGGGTGAGTATTCTAAAGTCATATCTGGCTCAAATCCTGACTCTTCTGTTTTATGTGTGACTTTGGGAAAATTACTTAGGCTTTCCTGGCTTTCATTTATTCCTCCAAAATTTGGAGATAAGTATATTGTGTGAAAATTAAATGAGATAATGTATGTAAAGCACTTAGCACAGGACTTGATTTTCAACATTTGAGTGCCTGCTATGTGTTGTCCTCTGTTTTTGGCTATAGAGATACAGTTGTGAACAAAACAGACATAAATCCCTGTTGTCATGAAGTTGAGGCAGACTATGAGAAGTACTAAAATACTGATTCAGACAATATGCTCTAGGAGTGTTGGCTCAAGTTTGGCCAGGTAGATAAGCCAGAACATTCAGTTTATTATGAAAAGATTTATTGGTCTTATGTTAGCAGCATATCTTGAAGTCCTTCATGCTGAGGACTCCACTAGATTCAGATGTGGTCCATGCAGTTGAGGAAATTATAATAAAAATGGAAGAGATGAAAGATGTTTTAAATACTGTTTGAGCACAGACTATATAAGAAAAATAGAATTATAAAGCAGTATTAAATACCTTCCTTGCTATTAGTCTGCTCACAGCCAACTGGGAAGGCAGGACATGTACGTAAAAAATTTTTAAACCCAGAGAGTATGGCCCCCAGACACCCTTTTAGCTCAGCGGTGAAGTCACTCCTGAGGTTCATCGTTCAGCCATGGATTGGACAGCCGCATAAAACAAAACGGGACTAATGAGGCACAGCAGTCCAGGGACAAGGACTAGAAGGCAGGAGGGGACAGGAAAGCTGGTGGTAGGGAACCAAAGGTTAAAAAGGGACAGTGTTGACATGTCATGGGGTTGTTAACCATAGTCATAGGGCAATATGTGTACTGACTGTTTAATGAGAAACTATTTGTTCTGTAAACCTTTATCTTAGGTACCAAAAAAAAAAAAAAGAATTATCTATGTGAGATCAGATTGACAACAGCCACTCAAGGTTTGGTTGGAAGCCTTGGGGCGGTGAGTTGAAGATAATGGTGATGGACTAATTTGGAAAAGGATGGTGAGACTAGCAGCACAACTGGAAGAATGTAATTGATGTCACTGAACTGTACATGTAAAAACTTTTGAAATGGTGTAACTTTGGCTGTGTATATTTTCACCCCCCTGCAAAAAAAAAAATGTCCTCCAAGGTCAAGAAGGGAGAGTGTTGACATGTCGTGGAGTTGTTAACCAGTGTCATACAGCAATGTGTAGTTGTTAATGAGAAACTATTTGTTCTATAAACCTTCATCTAAACTACAATAAAATAAAAAATAAAAAATTTTTTAAATGCCTACTGAGGGGTGACATGTAGTTACCACTGATACTTAGTAATTCTGTAGGAGTTCAGCTGAGAGTGAGATCAAGATGGACTGGGGTTGTCAGATAAGGTTATACTGAGAAGATGGTACTTAACAGACTCCTGAGAAAAGAATAGCACTATCTTAATAAATTTGTTTGTTGTTTTTTGTTTTATAATTGGAAACAATGCATGCTTTTTATAAAAAAAAATTTCAAACAGTAGTTTATAAATAGAAAGTCTTAGCATCTTCCCTCATTTATTCATTTATTTATATTTATAATATATATTGAACACCTATGTGCTGGACACTGTCCTAGGTGCTATAAATAAAAGTGAACAAAGTAGGCACAAATCCATGCTTTCATGGAGCTTATATTCTGTTGGGGAGAGAAAGACGTAAACAAGAAAATAAGTAAAATAGATAGTATTTAATTACGCTGAGTGACGTAAGTCGAAAGGACAAATATGTAGAGACCAAAGTTTTAGTAGGGGTGGGAGTGAAGGGGAAAGGAGAGTCAGTGCTTAGGGGGCACTGAGTTTCTGTTAATGGCAGTGGAATACCCACCCTTGTGATTATAGTGGGCCCACACAGATAATGCAGGATAATCTCCCTATCTCACAATTCTTTTTTTTATTGTTATAATTAAATGAAGTTTACATTTCAAGTTAGTCTCCCATACAGAATTTTTTTTTTTTAATTGTACTTCAGATGAAGGCTTACAGAACAAATAGTTTCTCATGAAACTGTAGTACACATGTTGTTTTATGATATTGGTTAACAACCCCACAACATATTAATCCTCTAACTTCTCAACCTTTTCTTTTGGTGAAAATACACATAGCCAAAGATAGACCATTTCAAAAATTTCTACATGCACAGTTCAGTGACATTGACTACGCTCTTTCAACTGTGCTGTTATTCTCACTTAAGATGAAGGGTTACAGAACAAAATAGTTTCTCATTTAATAGTTACTACATATGTTGCCCTATGACAATGGTTAACAATCTCACAACACATTAACAATATCCTTACTCAACCTTGGGTTCCCTATCACCAGCCTCCCTGTCCCCTTCTGCCTTCTGGCCCTTGTCACTGGACTACTGTACCTTGTTAGTCTCATTTGGTTTTACGGGGCTGTCCACTCCCAGGCTGAAC